CGACAGGCCTTCGAATTAAATAAATTGCTTTTTAGTTTTTCAGGTAGATCTAACAGTAAGGGTAAGATATTTAACTTTTTTTTACCAATTATCCAAATAATGTTTGAAAAACCGCGGCACCCCGGTTGGGAAACACTGGTCTAAGGGAACCATCAAAATAAAGTGTTAGCGTTCGCTATTATCATTTACTGCTTGCCTTAATATGATCGGCCAGTTCTTTGGTCAGCTTGTCTGCCAGGCATTGAGCAGATGCTTTACCGTCATCCAGTAATGAGCTGTGAATAAAAATATATATAAATAACATGGATTATTTTTAATTACCTTGAAATATGCAAACTGTTCATGCATGGTATGTTTACAATGAAAATATTGTAAGTCATTAAGTACCTGAAATAATGGTGGTTCCTGAAGAATTTCAGTTCAGCCTCCATGGCTTTATCAAAAGGAATTCTGTCATTGATGTCACTCTGACCACGACATCGCACAATAATGTAGCCCTTGCTGAGAGGAATGACTTTGCCCTGAACAATGTTCAAAACTTCAATCTCAGCTCCTCTGTCGATGAGGTCTGGTTTTGTGAGAATTGCTATTCCACATATTTAAATATTAAAAAGTGAGAGAGGGAGAGATCAAGTTTAGAATAAGCGAAAATCATGGTATACAGTGTGAAGAAATATTTTATGGAAATACAGAAATATGTTGCCAAACCTAGAGTTCTGAGTCCTTCTGGGTCTACTTTTTGCGCCATTCTTAGTGCTTCCGTTGTTGCAATGTCAACATTGCAGGGCACAACAACTAATATGATGGTTTCACTTTTTGCAATATATTTCAGTATCAAAGTTTTGATCTAAAATGATAAAGTGATCTCTGGTTATGGAGAAGAGATTCTTTAAGTCAACATGAAACATCATGAAACCCATTTTAATTCTGTGATACAGGATATCCATAAAAAATGTTGTGCAAGACTGTATCCATCAGGAAATGGTAGGATAGCGAAAAGACTAAAAGTGTTGATCTGGGATTTTCACAGATTTCAAGGACCCATGCTTCTTGTGTCTGAAAAACTACAGACAAATTTGAAGCTGAGCCAGTGGCTTGCCCCTTCTTATGATTCCTTCAGTAATCATTTATAAAGTATTATTTTACTGTAATTATTCATTACATTTCGTTAATTTTAGACCAAACATTTTTGTTTTATTTTATATTTATTTTGTTTTTGACATTGTTTTGAACTTGATTTTGCTCTGGAAATTTTAAATAGACCTTAATAAATAAAATAAATAAAACTTTTAAGAAGTCATCCATCCATTCCATTATCCAAACCATTTGATCCTTATTGGGGTTGTGGGGAGCTGGAGCTTAACTTAGCATCTTGAGCCACGGGCAGGGAAACTCCCTGGATGGATGTCCATTCCATCACAAGGTTCACACACAGATTTTAAGAATCACTTTAACTGAATTGATCTTCCTTTGATATAGAATGAGGTTAAAATGTTGAGTTTTACTTCAGCATAATCAATGACACAGTTTAACTCCATGTGGCTAAACTTATCCGCTCCCTAGGCTCAATTTACCCCGCACTGGGGACAAGTTGAGCCAAGAAACCAAGGAGCCTAATTTTTTTATTATTAATTTTTTTGAAAGCAGTTTATTTTAGACCCAAAGTGATCATTCCCAAGGATACACCACATCCTGAAAATTATGTACATATTTTAGTTGGGCACATTACTGTCATGCGCTCATTTTAAAGACACCACAAGCAAAAATGGCTTAAGTCATCCCACTCTCCCCTGAGACAGCCATTACTTTGAGGAAATGCCACCTACACTCACCTGATCTCCAATATCCTCAGGCTGATCATGCACAGGTACACGGGTTATACCAGGCAGATCGATCAGAGTGAGGTCACACACATCCGGAGATGAAATCTCCAAAGTGATGAGTTCATCACAGATTCCAACTGCTTTTCCAGCAAGCTTGTTTTGAGCTGTTGAATTCAAAAGTATGCAACAGATAAACACAAGTAGTTCTGTAATTTAAACTGAGGTAGCAAACATGATGCAGTATTGTAAATCTAATTAAAATGTTAGAAAGCATAATTATTATTCGTCCTACTATTCCAATGTACAGTCCAATACATTATTTGAAATGATTTTTTTTTTTTTTTTAATTCTGTTGTACACAGATTGAATATAGGCTACCATATACAAGTTGTTTTATGATGACAACATAAAACCTGTAAGATTTTCTGTTTATACTGACCTTCTCTAACAAGCGTATCCACTTTTAACGGGTCATTAAAGGTCTCTCTGTGACCACTGTAAGAAATGATCCCCGACCATGGTCCATTTTTGAGCTTCTGCAATTTCAGCTCAAGAGGACAGCGAGTGACAATACCTTAAAAAAATGGTTTCAACAAGTTATTAGGAAGTTATTGTAAGGGAGGAGTTCTCATATCTTGTTAATTTCTTCAATTTAAATGTGATGCATTGACAATGAAATTTTTCCTTTTTTGTCCAGTATATATACAATATTACAGTCACAAGGTGCTGAAAGTAAAGAAAAATATCTTACCACTTCCTCGAGGTAGAGCCACCCCAGAAAGTGCCTCCAAAACAGAACTCTTTCCAGAACTCTGATCTCCCACCACCGCAATGGATGGTAGACCAATATCTTCATCAAGGCCGATCAACTTCAGAGAGTCAATCAACTCAATCAAAGGCCGAACAGACTCAATGAAGTGATTGTGGAATGCTCCATGAGTCTGTGACTCAGAAAATGAGCTTTTATAATTAAAACAAACAGAAACATTATTTAGATCATCAGTTGGAGGCTCTACAGTGGAAAAAACAATACTTCACTGCAGTACTTAACTCAAGTAGGAGATGCTAAAAAAAGTCAACATGCTAGTCTTACTGTATGTTAACTTTATTTTATTTCTTATATTTCGTTGCAAAGACCTTTGTCTTTTAAAACTTCCACACAATAATTCACAAATGCCTTTTATTTTATTTTTTTTTTCAATTGTGGATTTAAATATTTTAAGATTGAAAGCCTGAGCCTGAGACAAGGGTAAAATGGTTTAAAAATATATAGATAAAAAAAATAATAATTAAATTATACAAATTATGAAGGCATAGTAAAAATTTCCAAGTCTAAAGTAACTTTCATGTAACGTAATGGAAAAGGCTGAAATCTGATGAAGATAAATAAGAATAAATATAAATAAATAAAATCTTGTCACATAAATGTGTTAAATACTGTGTGTGTGTATATATATATATATATATATATATATATATATACATATATATATACATATATATATATACATATATACATATATATACATATATATATATATAATAAATACATATATACATATATGGTATTTCATGGTATTTTAGTTGTCAAACTGTCAAGTATCATTATCATTTGAATAATGTACCTCTCTTCATCTTGGGAATCGTAGTCTGAATTTTTGTCCTTGTCCATAGTTTGTCTGAAACAGAATTAAAAAAAAAATCTACATTTAAATTAGATTAAATTTGCAATAGGCATAAAAACATTAAAAAGAGCCCAACATCACTACATGTCTAGTTGTAGGAAACAACACAATCAATGCACAACCAATAGTCCTGAAAACTTCTACAGATAGTAATCATAAAAAAAGAAATGTCTCCATTTGCTTGCATTATATGTATGCTGTATACTGTCAATTCAACAAACAACTTTTATTAACCGCATGTACACCAATAAAATGTTTTTTTTTTTAAAAAGGAGCATCAAAACAAGGACAATAGAATAATAAAACAAGTCTGATTTTACCCACATTTAGTGCTTATTCTTCAATACTCAGCCAGGGCTGTTCCTTCAAAAGTCCCATAAAACCATTACAGCATATTATATATCACTAAACCAGGAAGTCTAAGTAGTGTTCAATGATTGGTTACAAACATACTTTACCTTTTAGGGAAACTAATCAAACTAAGCTAGCATTTAAAAAAAAAAAAAAAATCAACTGTTGTGTTCATGTTTTCACGTGTTATCACATGGCCACTTTCCCACAATTCCCCCCTCCCTAACAGCTCCAAATGTCTATAAAACTTCCTCCTTTACCTCTTTGCCAGTTGCATATAATGAAATTATCCTCAGTCATTATGCATTTTACCAATCTGCTTAAACATGCTTTCAAATATGTAATTAAACACAACAATAGGGAAAAATATCACAACTATTGTTTAAACAGCTAGTAAAAGACACATTGTTGGATTATCACACAAAGCAAAGCATCTATAATTATAGAAAACTTAAACTGATGATTTGTGCACATTTCATCCCAGCACCAAGCCTCCAGACCCTGGCCTGGCATTACTGATGTATACTTCTCTTTGTGAGTAGTGGTGTAATAAAATTAAAATCCTTCATTACAGATTTTGTTTCCAAAGAAACTAAACATATGGGTGAAAAAAGATAATCTGTTTACCATCTTGACTGGAAAACATGATTTTCATTGTCTATTTTTCATTTCTTTTTGCTCATCCTACTAAATAACATTACATAAAAATAACTTTAAAAATAAACAGGAATATTTTACTGGTGTAATATTTTATAGCAATATCTGTACTTTTATGCAAGCACTTGATTTGAGTTTTTTTTTTCCATTTATTTCTCCATTTTTTCACAGGCATTTGTCTTGTCCATCACAGGAAAAAAAACAGATCTTAAAGACATTGCCTACATTTACCTGTTCTTTTATATTTATCTTTTTGTAATGTAATTTTGTAATGTAATTTTTTCCCCCAGAAATAGAATAAACTAATGTGCTTATTTCCTTTTTATGTTTTTGCTTATTTATCTTTGTTTCTGTTTCAGTCAGCTGTCTCTGATGTGCTGTCTGCCTAGCAAACCTCATCCAGTGCCCCAGCCTCTTGGGTACTCTCAGTTCTCTTTTTACTTCTAATTTCTGCATAAAACACATGATTACATATTTCTTATCCTACCAGCCGTCTCCTCTCTGGTGGTTAACTGAAACATAAAGTAGATGGTTCAGCAAAATTACACACTTAATGAGTTCATTTGCACATATAATCTTTACGTTATTAGGGATAAACATATTTGGCTTGCTGTTTGCTGAAGAGGGGCTTGACGAAGTGGCTTCAACTCTAGGTTAGATGTGACACCCAAAATGGTGTATTTAGTATTAGGATGCTATGGGTCCATGCCGAATTGGCTTGTGGGTATGGAAGACCACCAAAAATCAGTAAAGAGAAAGAAAGACAGAGGTTAGGGAAAATGGTATCTGGGCTCCAGTAGGAGTACTGAGCGGGACATTGGTGTGGCTGTTTAAGCTTCGACAAATCTCACCATTGTGTTTATCGATCACGAGTTTGAGAGGAGGTAAGGAGTTCCAGGATGTCCAGTAGGCTTGTGATGACCTGGCTTGGAAATTCCAGGGATGTAGAATGACCCAAGGTTTTTCCTGAGAGAGGGGAACTCTTAACTTTGAGAAGACTTTTTGAAGGGTGGATGGGTGTTCGGCTGCAGGTGTTTTAGGGACGTGCTGCCTCACTTGCCTTCATCGAATGAAATGTTAAATGAAGACACGCTTACATCACATAGCAAACTCCCATATGTATGGCTTTTATGATGTAGTAAACCTCCTTGGAATAACTCACCTGGTACAGCATTGCACTTGCGAGTTTTGTGAAACACAGGTCACCATTAAAGAGATCACAGACTTGTAGAAGAAAGCTAAAAGCTATATTTACTTTTGTTTACACTATCGGTTAGGTTCAGAGTAGGGTTTAGTGTAGGGTATATGATCATTTCAAACGATACAGACAATACAGAATTAACTTTTTAGAACCACTTATTGGACATTTAATTTCTGAACTGTCATGATATGTGCATTATTCAGTGTTTTAGTTTGAATCACTGAACGGTTCACTTTGAAGCTACCATGAAACATGCTACTAGCAACGCAATATCATTTTGCAAAAATGCACTTTTTTATGACACAGAACATTGCATTGTGTGTAGAGGTCACCATATTGTAGGACAGGAGCACACAGTGTAAACAAAAAATGACCACAGGAAAAAAAAAACATATACAGTGTCATATACAGTGTTAGCAAGTACTCACTAGGAGAAGCAGTCAAGCATCAGAAGAGGACAGCAGATTGTATGTGTATTTTTTATTTACTCATTTGATTTTAGCGCAGTCGTCGTTGCTAGGAAAAATTGTTTTGTTTACTGTGTTTACCATGGTAAACATTTGCTGAAGTCACGTTTATTCTTGTGCTGTGTCACATGGCTTTTAAAGTGGTCATATGATGCAATTTCAAGTTTTCCTTTCTCTTTGGAGTGTTACAAGCTGTTCGTGAATAGATAAGATCCCTAAAGTTACAAAGACTAAAGTCTCAAACCCAATGTAATGTCAGATTACTTTTCTTAGGGAATTAATTATTACTAATTAATTCAGGTTTTGAGAGGACTCGAATCCGAAGATTCGAAGTCAACCTGATTAGAACTGATTTCAAATTTGATAGTTTACACTTTATTAACGGTCGTCCAGCGAGACGTTAACCTCAGTATATTTTAACTATTTGAATATTTGTATTTTCCCTGGCCACGGGTTAATACGTTTTTTGATAAGTTATAAGCTACGAGCTAGGTAACAAGATCTAGGCAGAGTTTTAACTTTAAAATGTCACGACACAAGACAATGATTCTTTATAAATGAAACAAGAATTTATTGGCTATTCTAGATTACATTGACCTAAGCTAAGACATACACATACACACACACACACACACACACACACACACACACATACACATACAGTTCCGAAGAATGAAAGTTAACGGAGTTGCATGAAGTTTTCAAAGTTCTAACACTCGTTTGGTACGAGTGCTTTAAATTCAACCCTGGGACAATCACAAAGCAGAGATTTTCTTATCTTTACTGCTGGAGGGAATTACTCCCTTTTGGAATGCAGGGGGGGGGTGTCCTGAGGTTATGCCCATGTCACGAGTGTGGATCTGCCATCCTTCTCGCGGGACATGGAGATCTTAATCTGTCGCTTTCTGTTTATCGGATTTAGCAATTTACGTGTCAAACGGTCATGGGGTCCAAAGGAAACAACAGTTGCTAGAACTACTGTAATCCTATACAAAACGCGAAGATGATGATGGTAAAATAACTAGAATAAAGTAAAAGTAAAACAAAACAAACAAAAGGGGTCCTAATAGCTGTAGGAAATTAAAAGGGAAAGTAAATAAAAAGTTAATCTAATTAATAATTGATTTGTTAAATCAAATGAAAAATTGTGTGTTTGATTGGTCCAGACGCTACAGAGAGTAGACTACAATGCCGGCTGTTTTGACTCACAGCCTGTAAGTATGTTTTAATATTTAAAAATTTGCCACTGATGATTCAAACGCGAGTTTTGAGCAGTATAGGGTAGCGCTTGTTGTTTGTCGTTTCTCCAATCACAAATGCAGACATGGTTTTATGTTTACGCGGCATGATTATCAATGTCATATGACCCCTTTAAGTTTCGTTCTGTTAAATAGTAAAGCTTGGCCTGCTGAATTCAGGAACAACGTACCAGGTGGGTATATAATTTGTTAGTACACTGTAGTGATTTTCAGATGTTTCAGATGTGTTGCTTCACACAGGGTACCACTAAATGGGGTGATTTCCAATCTAAGTAGCACCACCAGTGTAATGGCTCTGGGTTTAAATATTAATATTAATATTAAGTTTTGGTCACACTATTTTATGGGGCACCAGTCAGGAATTTCACCTTGACAGTAAAGAACAATCATAGAAGATTGTTTAAATACATAATAAGTCATGAATCATAAGTTGTAGTCAGACCAATCTAAAGGATTTTAGAGAATCATTAACTTGTAGACCCTCTTACTGATTTATCAACACAAGGAAGACACAAGTGGAATAAAAGGGGTTTTATTAAAGTCCGGGTACAAGTCAATGCAAAAACTTTTTACTGTTGCATTTTTACAGGATATTTTACAGTCATTCAACTGTATTAGAGTAAATGATGTAAGTTTTGTCAGTTAAAATTTTAAATCATAAACATGCTTAAACATACCTATTGATCTCTCTAGGCCCATTTTGTTGGATCATTTAGAATAGTCGATTTAGCTGAATATTATATTATCAGTCAATAATCTTAGTTATAATGTGTATCTTCTTCACATCACATTGTTTATTGTTGTTCCTTGTGAAGTACTCTTTGAGCTTTGGAAAGGTGCTATGTAAATTAAACATATTATTATTATTCACATAGGGCCCAAGAGTAACAGGAGTGCTTGGGAGCCCTCTAGTCCAAGAGCCTTGTTTAAGAGGCCTTGCATAGGCTGTGAGACCCATATATTCAAGTATAAATAAACATTTGTTTTATTGATGGTGGGTTTTTTGTACCAAACTCATCACACAGGTAGTCAAGTGCTCCTGGACACTGGCCCCATTGGCCTCTGTGAAACTGCATCAGACAGCTGGCGAATAAAAAAAAAAAAAAAACCTTACAAAGAGTCCTTTAGATAAAAGGTTAATTTATTAAATTTATTGTCTGCTAAATGATTTGGGTCTAAAACACAGAGGGACAACATTACGGTTATTACATCTCACACAAAATATTAGTCGGGTATTTAGATCTCTTATACTTGACTTGATGAACATTCTGCAAACCTAAATAGAACATTACATTTCCATAGAAAAAGAAGAAAAGAAATAAAACATCGTTCTGGGAGCCAAAAATTGTTATCCGGCATGCTTGTAGGAATACTTGTATTCCTTTATACCAGGGATGTCCAATTTTGCTCCTGTAGGGCACTGTCCTT